CAGAGGGTGGTGAGGGGTTCTCCATCGCTTTGAGAAAGTTGGGTAAATATATATAAGTGTGGGCTCTTTGGTCTGGCAGTTGATCATCAACACAGACTGCAGGCTCTAAGCACCTCTGTTCTTGTTGCTAAAAATTCCTTGTTGCTTTGATAATCGGTGCAAATGATGCAACTTCATTTATATTACCACTTGTAGAAGAGCATTTTCTAGGCCTCCGTGTCTACTTGACCGCTGAGAAATGCAGCGTTGGCTGATAAGATGGTTATTCTCTAGTGGAAACACATCTTCCACATCTAATCCAGTTATGCCTGAGCAGAAACCTTTCAAAAAACTTTGCAGATGGATTGCAGTGTTTCTGCTGTACCCTGTGGTTGTGTGACAGTGAGTGCTCATGAATGGCGGGTATAGAATAAGCCACATTCCAGCCTAGGTGAGGGCAGAGATGCCAGTGAACACCCAGGCGCGTGCTCCCAGGCACAGTGAGGTCTTGTGACTGGTACATCATCCCCTGGCTTTTTCTTTCCCTCATGCCCTTCTTCCTCTCCATTTCTGGTGTTATCAGAGTTGAAAAGCAATACTGTCCATTTACCACAGGTTCTCTCTCCAGTCTTTTCATCTTTGTTGCTGCTCTGCAGCAGAGTATTGCATACTCAGACTTTATTCAGCTTTGTGTTGCTGACCTTTGCAGTCTTCCTGTCCCCTTCCCGTCAGACTTAGAAGTCTTCCAGAGCAATGCTGCTTGTACTCCTAAATCCAGTAGTATGACAGGTACAGAAGAGGCAGCATCTGTGTCATCAGGATGCAGTGGCATTACTCCTCATTTTGCTTAGTATATTAGAAATGTTATTCTGGGAGACTCAGCCTATTTGTATCTTCTGCTGAGGTGTGTTTCTTGGCTATAAGGCTCCAAGTTTCCCCATTTTATTTTAGTGTATGTTGTGTTTTGCCTTGGTAATTCTGAGAACAGGAGATAGAAAACTGAATGGAGACAAAAATAGTTTACAACTGGCTGTCCCTATTACCCTCACTATTCTGCAAATGGCCAGAATGAGGAATTACAGCTGGATTTTCTTAGCCCTGTAGCTATTAGGTGAGCCCTACCATTTTTCATCCCTTCCTCATAACCTGCCATCTCTAGTCTGTCATATCTGTACTCATTTATTCCTGAGGTGGTGTTTCTAGAGGGGATATTTCTGTCTCTCTTCCTGGATGAGAGCTGTACAGGAGACTGGCTTGAAAGCCCTGGTCCATACAAATTTTTTCTGCTTCTTAAATTGTCTTCTCTAAAGCCTTTAGTGATATCCTTTACAACTATACAATTTTGAAAACACTTCAGGATTACTTAAAAATGTTGTGGCTGAACCCAGGACACCTTCATAGACTTGCTCTTCAGTCATGTTTTCCTTTCTGCCTATCTCTCTGTTGCTTGTTTCTTTATGCTTATATTGTCAGCCCTTTTTGGCAACCCTTTGCACCATGAAAGCTGTCACCTCTGTGACTGAGGCTCCAGGTGCACAGTAATACCAACAAATGATGAAGGTGGGAACTTAACCCAGGGAAACGCGATTTCCAGCCTGGACCCTATGGTTTCCACTTTGGTGCCAGGAGGTGATGAAGTACTGTGGGAACATTGCCTAAGCAATCTTCAGATGCATTTGCTGACTTATTGTCATTATGATAATCAGGAAGGGAGATATTACATCCTCAGAGGCCCACCCTTAAGCACTTCAGGCTTAGTCACTGTAGCAGAGAAAAGGGGATGCCCCCAACCTCGAACAGCAAGTCCAAGCTCCCAAATCTGGCAGGAAAAGCACGCCTCCCCTCCCAGTGCCTGCTGCTCCTGGGGTGGCTGCCTGTCTCCTCCCAAAGGGACAGCGTTCCCTGACGGGAAGTAATTGCTTTGGAAACCTTGCTGAACATCTGTGTCCAATCAGACTGAACATCCACACCAGCGGCGGCCGAGCATCAGCGGTAGCGTGGAGCCTTGGAAAGAGCTGTGCTCCCGATGCCGCAGCTCCCGAGGGGGTTGCATCAGGGGAGCAGCCTCCCTGGGGTTTGCAGTTGTAGTGGTGGTGCATTTCGGAGCTTGCCAGTGACAAGCTGCAGAACAAAACCACAAGGTTTGAGATGTAGCTCAAAACAACAGGGTTTGGAGAGCCAAACCACGAGGCTGAGAATTTCAGTAATTATAAGGCAGGAAAACACTTTGTAGTTCTTTAGCCTTGTATGGGGCTTTGCCTACTGTATAGGTGGAAGCATGAGGGCTATCTGCTGAGACTCCACATTTGCCCGTACAATTGTTTTAGAATCTACAGAGCGAAAACACACTAAATCGAGGTGTCCCTCAATAATAATCTCAGGGGAACTGACATAAAAGTTACAGGGAAGAACACAGAGCAAATGGAAATGAGACAAAAGAGAGAAACCAGAGCAATTTCAGAGCAGTGGGATAGCTGAGGAAAATGCTAAAGGAAATAGTGTGGAGGAATGACAGGAGAAACAGAGACACAGAAGGGACCAAAGCAGAGAGGTTGCATTCCCAGCTAGGGATAGGGCCCACATTCATTTTACACTGGCATTGAATAAATGAGAGGAGCCAAGGTATGGTCCTAGTGGTTCACCCAGCACTGGGAAATTGAGCAGCTGTGATATTTGTAGTTATCTTTTTCCTATCAGCTCAAGCAACAGCAAAGAATAGAAGTCTCAAATATTTGTAATCTTTCTTCTTTTCTCTTAAATGTTTTGGGTGTAACGTAAAAGCCATGTAAAACCTACTTAAATCCCAGAACTCATGTAGAATCTCCTACAGAGTGTGAGTCCAAACAAAAGGCAACTTGTGTTCTCTTTAAGTAGCTTGCAGACCTTTGGTTTGAATTGTTTGCAGAATTTGGGCAATGCCATATTTAGAGTTGCATGTGAAATCGTAATTGAAGTTACAAAATTTATTTTAGTTTCAAGGTCACACACTATTTTTCCAGGGTGTGCCTGCTTAAACCCATGATAAGATGGTTTCGCTGAATGAGTAGCTGTTCAAGATTTTTGTTTATCATCATCATTTCTGTGAGACCTCGAGCGTGCTTAATGCAAGTGGAATCTGTGACTTTTTATTTAATTTTTTTCCACCGCTTTCCCTGGAACTGCAAGGCCTCTGCTTTACATGTGCCTTTATGAAATTCCTAAGGCTTAATATTTATCCAATATTTAGTGAATTTTCACAAGGAGGCAAACTCAGCTGACATACCAAATCCCTCAAATCCCTTGGTCAAATGGATGTTGAACTTTATTAGCAATTATAAAGTTAATATTTTATTTTAATTTTTTTTTAGATGGTGAATCAGTCCATGGGTGAAAATGTCATATTATAATGGAAAGTGTTGGACCGCTTTAACACCAGGCATTCTTTCGAATTCAACTATAATTAAAGAACATGAGTGTTAATTAGGATCTTTTTACATTTAAGGTCCTGAGAGCACTTTGCCATTGTTGAAATGTGAACTTAAAGGATCCTTGCTCTGGTCAGCAAAGTATATTATGTTTGGGCAGCTTTGAGAGGACATGTGGGATCAAAACAGAATAGCAGTGGCAATCTGTTTAGACTGCTGTTTTGGAGAACAGTGCACATCCTCATCGAGTTTGCTGTGTTAATGCCATTGTAGCAAGAGCCATCAACCAAACTTTCATTCTTCAGGATCTGAAATTCAGCAGCTAAAGATAATCATGGGATTGTTCCATGAAGAGGCCTCCATAAGGCGTTCAGCACCTTGTGGCGTGAGAGTTCGCAGTACAAGTAGTGTCTGAAATGGAGCAGGCATCGGCTGTGTCAGAATTACAGTTGATAATTACAGGGCTAATCACTGCTGGGCAGGGGAGGCTCCTGAGGATTTTGCAGGGAATCATCAACATTTTCAGCAGTGCCTTGAAAGCAACTGAGAAGTCACTGTTAAACTGCAAGCAACCCAAAACTGGTGTAAATAATGACTTACAAAGCACATGCTTTCTATGTAGAGTGTAATGCCTGCCCCTGTCGCTTGTCATGGAGTTCACAAGGAAGATGGCTCAAGGCTGCAAGGAGATATTAAATCAGATTATCCTGCCAAAGCTGTTGGTTAGCAGATTAAAATTCCTGCCATCCTCCTTGTGCCTTGATCTGAATTTTTAACCCAAACAGAAATGAAATGTTAGAATGTAATTGATCTGCAAGTCCTGTGAACATGGAGCCTCCAGTTATTTTGAGGACAGTACATGCTATACTCACTAACATTTGGACCAGTGGAAGCAATGATACAAAGCAATGTGGCAGAAAGGCATGGACCCCCCTTCTAGGCAGGGCTGTCTAGCAGGGCAGCAGTACTCAAGGCCAGTGTTCTCCCATGTTTACTGGGTGAAGACATTTTTTCCCCTTGTACCGTGAACATGCACGACTCTTCACAAGACAAGATGACACCTTTATAAGCTTACAGCTTAATTCACATAAACCTGACAGAAGAGGATAAATCTAGGATAAAGTTGAAAGCATGAGTAGAGCTGTATGGTCATTTTTAGCTCTTTGAATGTTCTTAAAAGCATTTGCTATCCAAGGGTACATCCCCTTGGAGGCAGGTGGGAGTGATGACAGCGTGTGCTGGAATGCTTAAGTCATTAACCAAACTAGCTGAAGTGCCAATTAAGAGTGAAAAGATGGCACCAGGGAGGGGGTATTCGTGCTGAAGCCCAGGACTCTCTCTTTTCTTTACACGTGTCATCCAGACTACCTCAAGTGCATCTGCACAAGCTGCTGTCACCCCTCCAGGATGCACCACCTCCCCTACAACTTTATATGAGTGCTTGTGGCAGTGAGCAGGGACAGTGGGAACTGCTGCCAGTAGTGCATTTTAATTTTTGGTGGTTTTTTTTTTGTTATAACAAATATCTCTTATGTCAAATATAACATATATATAGTTGTGTTTGTTGTTTTATCTCTCCTTTTTCTTTTTTTCTTTTCTTTTTTTTTCTGTTACCAGAGTGCCTCTGATGGCTTTTGGAAGTCAGTGGCAACCCGTGTCCCAAGAGAACCTCATGAGATACGTATCCTGAATCCCTACTTCATCCAGGAGGCAGCTTTCAGCTTCATCGGACTGCCTTTCAACAATGGCCTGATGGGCAGAGGGGTAGGTATAAAGCAAAGCAAGCAAACCATGGGGAAGGATGGGAGACCAAGCAGCAGACGTCTTACACTGTTCTTACTTTTCCTTTGGGCCTCTGCTGATGGAAATTGAAGGGAAAGGTCTTTGGCTCTGTTATCGTGGCAGCGCTCAGCCTCCATCAGGCCAAGGCAAGATCCTTCCGTGGAACACTGAGGATTTTGTGCGGGACCATCAATATTTCAGCAGTGTCTTGAAAGCAACTGTAAAGTTGCATCTGAGGCTAATAATAAAAGCATGTTTTATAAGGCCTTTGGTAAGAAATTCTGATATTACAGTGACAAGTTTTAGATGTAAAAGCTTGCAGAAGAAAACAGTGCAAAAGACAGTCTTAGGTCATGGTTATTAACAAAAATACTTTCATGGTCATTCTCATATCTCTCACCCCCAGTGCAGCTTTTTGGAGTGTTAGTGTGGAGTAGGTGGTGACCTGGGTTTTCTGGATTATCTCACCCTGCAATGCTGTCCTCAGAACCTATTTATATTTGCTTTACCTAATATATCAACCATTAAGGAAAGTATTACTTGGGCGGGTAAATTACTCATGTACACATGTGATATAGTTGTTGATAGAGAGCACATGTGACATTTTTGGGCACATTAGCACAGCTGACAAACCCAGAGAGAAGCACTTTTGCTGGACAAGGTCTGCTTGCTCTGCCCCTGGCATTGTCCTTCCATTGTTACCAGTACAGGAGATTTGCCATTTTGCAGCACAGATTTGGACCAGACAGAACAGTGCCTTCTTCTTGCTCTAATTATAATGTGAAGTCTTCAGAAATATTAGAGATGTTTGTTATGTGCAGGTCAGATGGGTGGGTGCCTGGAGATAAGAAATTCGCTTCTTAAAATGCATTGTGAAAGATGTGCAGGCAGGTTCAGCCACACAGAATGGATCTTTAGTGAAATGTGTTGCTGCGTGTGTACGTATGAAAGCTGTCATAGGGTCCTGGATGCACTGGATTTTTACTCTGTGCACTGAAGGTTTCTTATTCTAAATATTTCCATGAGCTAGAAAGTAACTTACTTCACCTCTCTGCATTCTCCAGAACTTACACTTAGAAAGATGTGGTCTTGATTTATCTACCAGAAAATCAGGAGTGCTGCCCCAGTAGAGGACAGAAATCATCAGACTTTTGCCTTTATTTTCTCCAGATTTGTTTTTATTTTTAAACACGTTATTTTAATACATAAGATATTACTTAAGCTGAGAGGAGGAGAGAGAATCCGGAAATGAAAATGCTGTGAACTGAAGTTTATGAGGTTTTGATAGGTTGTTTAACACACATCAGATTGGGAAATGAAGGCATCTTAATTGAAACCTGATGTTTCACTTCATGGAAGTCCATTTGAGCATTTAGAAACAGTTTATGGAGCTTTTAGGCAAGCAATCTTTGCCATGACCCCTGCTAGATTGTTTAAATTGTAGTTCATTCCTTTAGATGGGGCAACAGGAGCTCTGCAGGTGCATCTGTGGGGGTGGGATGTTAGTATACCCTGTGCTGTCTGTGCAAGGACACTCTAATATGGTGATTCTGTCAGTTTAAAAACAGAGACAGAATGTTTCTAACTTGTGGGTACAAGTTTTACTGGAGTCTGAATAGTATCTTAGTGATACAAATTTGCTACAGACCTTTTTTCACTGAGAGTTTAAATGGAAGAATGGAAATCAGAGCCTGTAAACCAAGAATCCAACTCTCATTAGAGATTTGAGAGAGATCTAGCAAGATGAGTGAGGCAGCTAGAGCAAGGAGAATTCCTCCACAAGAGACAGTGTGACCCAGCAGCTGGAGAGCATAGCTGGTTGGGTTCAAGGTCATGCTTTGGAGATGCAAGACAGCCTGGAAAACTTCACTCAAGAAAGAAGCATATAAACATGGAAAAGGGAAAATACTGAAGTCTAGTAAGCAAAAGCACAGTGAACAGCATGTGTCCTGATTTTCTCCTGGGCAACTGGGATGGGGCAGATCGGTGCCCCCGTGCTACAGTGTGCTGTGGTATGTTGTGTGTGATCCTTCTGTGTGTGCAGGCTACACACAGGAGGATCAAGGCTGGGGATGCCTTAGTAATCAAGGCCAACATGAAATCCTCATAAAGAGCAGTAATATTCCACTCGTCTTGGGTTCTGATGCCTAAATAAACTTCAGTGCTTCTTTTGCGCACCACATATGGTAACAATGTGCTGCCAATTAACTTTGTAATTTGGGGGCTTTTTCAGCAAGGTTGAGGAGAGCTAGTAAAATAGTTTGAGGCTGATCTCAAAGCGTTTTTCCCAGGATTCAATAAAGGGTGAATGTAGTAACATCCTCTGCTTTGATAGTATAATTTGGGCCAGATGGTTCTGGAGGATACTAGGGGGGTACAACTCAGATCTGCATTTTGATTGCACTTATGGCATTAGTAGCTGGAAGTCTGAGCAAGGAGTAAAACTGGTCACCCACAATAAACAGTGACTTCCCTCTGGGACCAGTAAAGTTTTCAGGAGTTTCCTTGGTCGGTTTACTGAAGTCTTAAGAAAAGGGAGAGCTGTTTCCTACTACACATGGACTTCTCTTTTCTTGGGATAAGCTGATGATAAAGAAAAACTTTAGTTTAGGACCGTAGCAACATCTGGGGAAAATTGAATGTTAATGCCTGAAGATGGTTTATGATGAAAGAAGCAAGCTAGTAAAGATCCTCTCTTTGATTAAAGAATGCTGTTAAGGTGTGGTTGCAGGCTTGGCTGTATCACTAGCCAAAGGTGTATGTATGTGATCTATGTTACGGTGGAAGTTCTCTTTATAAGGGTCTTTTGGGCTTTAAACCAGACATCACTGGTACTGCAGCTTGTAATTCAGGCATGCGATAACCTACTTTACCTGCAGACAGCTGACTGGGGGACAAGCATGAACATCAGTTCCAGGGAATCATTACTGTTGCATGTACAACACCAGCGGTGGTTATTGCCATGGTGCTTTTTGCTGTGTAGCAAACAGAGCCATTGGAGCAGTGTGTTTCTGGCTTCTCTGGGAGCCCTGAGCATAGTGTGCGGTGACCAGGAGAACATTTCAGATCACACATTATCAGGACTGAGGGCTCCAGTGCAGACTGTGATGTTTGTTTCTGTCTTTCTGCTGCGCATCCATGGAATTGCTTGTGATTTAACTTCTTATGAGATTAAGCTCTGCTGCCAAAAGCTGCAAGCCTTTGATTTTTTGGTGTGTTGGAAATAGCTGAATCTATAGACCTTTACTAAAGAGTAAAGCGTTCTTCTCTGGACCTCACCCAGCCTCAGCACCAACTTGATGAAGGAGGAGCCATATGCAAGAGCTGTTATCAGGCTGCATCACGCACCCAGCCATGGATTAGCACCTCTGCAGAGCACTGACAGCCCTCATACACTCTGGGATTAACCTCTGATGCTGGAGTGTTAGCATGTCCTTCTCTTTGCTGTTACATGTGGGCAGACAGCCTTTCTGGAGATGCTACTGGTGACCCTTTGCTCCTGAGGGAGTTTTTCAGCTCCACTGGCTGGTCTTAATGACCCTTTCTCTCGTTAGTATTGGGTTGCCCTGGTGTCAGCAAGCTTTGTCTCCTGGGTTGTTCCTGCTGGACTGTCACTGTGTGAAAGCTGTGTCTTGGGACCTGTTGAGTCTTTATGGAGAAGAAGAGAGGAGGGGGATGGCAGGAATGGAGCAGTGTGCCACTCCATCCTTTCCAGTTGCATACTTCTCCTTTTTTTTGCACTCTGACAACATCTTCTAAGACAGGCAGAGGGACGTGTAAAGGGCCACTGCAGCTGCAGCCAGTTAAATATAGAGACTAGTGTCATTGTTAAGCTTTGGGTTTGCAAAACAGTCCATCCACCTCATGGGCTGGATTGTCCAATCCTTTACCACTGCAGTGTGATCAGTCCATGAGCTGCTGGGGAATGGACAATCAGACAAGCCATTATTGGGGTAGCAGTTAAATGTACACCAGCTGCTTCTTGGTAAATGCCCAACCACGTGCTTCTGCATGTGATAGATGCAAAGTCACTGAATGGAGTTTACTCTTCGATGAAAGAGTAGGCCATGAACTCCCATTTAGCATGGGATGAAGCATATATGTGGTTACCACAGAGCAGCTAGCATGTAGTAAAGTCATGCCCTTGCCTCCCCTCTGTTAAGTTGTTAGGTCCCTAAGAAATGCTGCCTGCATTGCACAGGAATCTCCTCTACATACAGCAAATGGTGAATCAGAGCTTGCGCATCAGATTGTATATGGTCAAAGATATTTTGTGTGGGATAACTACAGGAGGTGAAGGAAAAGTGTTGGAGATGCTCTGCTTTGTCTTTTAAAGTCCAGTATTGCAGCTAATTCTGTGCATGGATGGAGATAACTGTGGGAGCAGCACTGTATGTTGTAACCTCCTGTGGCAGGGACCACTCTGCAGAATGCCAGGCATTTGTCTGCCTACAATAAGTGACGCTAAATTGCTTTTTATGCCGTATTTCCAAATTTGAAAGCCAAAGGAAGCAAAGAGTAGGTTTGGGTTGTTCGTATGCAAACATAAATGAACAAAAACAAAATACCGTGACTGTTGTATATACCATGTGATGACTGATAGTTTTGTTCTGTATTTCTTTTGTTTTGGAAACTTTATTGCCATTAGGTGATCAGGTCTGTAACTGATAAAACTAAGGCAGCAATTTTTCTCAGATAAGCATTTTTTTTCCAGTTTTCCCTCAAATAAGTTAATATAGCAGTCAAACCAAGTGCATTATTGTTAATAGGGAGCTTATTCTTTAGGAATGCCCTTTTGTTGAAAAAGGTAACAGTTGAGATAGTCTAACAATCCAATATGTCTCACCCTGAGCTAAGTAAAATCCCATAAATAACTGGAATTCATTTAACATATTAAGGGAGTCAAATATTTCTAAAAACAGATTTACAGCAGTCATTTCCTTCCAGTCCAGCAGGCAGTGACACAGGAATGACCCGGGCATGGAATGAAAAGCAGCAAGAGCTTTTCACATGCACCAAGCAAAGAGCAGTTATGGAGCCTTGGTTCAGTTGCCAACACTGGATCTCTAGTGTAAGTCTTCAAGGTGATGTTCAGCTTCCATTAAGTCCAGAGGAGGGCTGGTGTTCATTTCTGCTGACTGGCTTCTTTTCTTCTCTGAATAGAAGTCAGTCTTTAAAGCCTTTTCAAGAAGACCAATGGAAGATAAAACAGCAATGGCTTGAGGGGAAGCCTTTTATCTTTCCCCTTGTAGCAGAGAACAGTGTAGGAGCAGTTAAGAGAACCTGTCCCATGTGTGTCTGTACTGCTAAACACATTTCTGGTCCCCTGACCCGGTGGTGCGGACTGACTGCGTTTGCACCAACACAAAGCTTGCAGCTCAAGGCCAGAGAACTTTACCTCTCTTGTTTTTACGCTTTTCCCACCCAGGATCCACCATGTATGTGCTCACCTCACCCATGGAGGACATGTGCCAGCGGGCCTTTGGGAGGAGGCACACTCCAGATGCACAGGCAGCCTTTGCCCAGCACTGCTGCAGTGATGTGTTGCTCACCACTGCTGTGTTTGCTGCTTCTGTTTGTCAGATGGCCTTTTGGTGTCATCTCTGGCCCATCTGTCAGTCTTCTGTGTTCTCTCAAATGGGACCAGGCAAAGGCCTGATCCCTGGAGAGCATTATATTAGATATTACATTTTCCAGATGTTTGGTCCTAGACAAGCAGGCAAGGCTGCGAAATGCAGACTGTCAGTTCAGGCCACGTTATCCAGGGATGTTGCCCTTGAGGCTGTTTATCAGTGCTGGAGAGGGGATGCTGAACCTAGCCCCTAGGTGGGACAGAAACCTGTGAGACACAGCAAGAAGTACAGAGCTTGCAAGGCCAAGTTCAAGGCTTGTGGCAGGGAACTGTCAGGAGGAGAGGACTGCCAGTGCTTTCTGGGGTCTTGCTGTTCCCAACTGTCCCTGGTTGGTGGGCACCAGTTAAGGTCAGAAACTCATCATGGCCACATCTGGAGCAGTTTTCCTGCTGGGCCACTCCAGGAAGACCCACTGTGTGGCCTGGCCACTCCTGGGCTGCCATTCTTCTACCATGTGGTTGAAAGCAGCATTACTTGGTGGTACAGGAATATCCAAGCATGTAGAGAGCCATAAGCAGGAAGACAGGCTTTGAGCTGGTCCAACCCCAGATTCCTGAGGTAGGATGCTGGGATTTTGGTTCAAAGGCCTAGAATAACAAGAGGGCTGCTCAGTTGTTTGAGTTTTCTTTTCATAATGCAAGAGGTGTGGTGGTTGCTTTGGTATGTCTTCGGGGCACGGCACAAGGGTGTGTGTGGTGAGATAGCACTGACGTATTGTGCAGGGCATAGCAATCCAGGTTTGGCACAGCCATGTCCGTGATGCCTAGCTTCTTTTGGAGTGACCTGTCGCCCACCTTGCCCTGAAGGTTGTACATGCTTCATTAGGTCCAAATTAGAGCTTAGCAGCAAATGAATTTATATGCCTGTGTACAATGAGAAGAGCTTGGTAGCTGTGTAGAAGCAGCCAGAGAATAATTATAACCATTTCCTCTCTCTGACACACCTCCCCTCTTACTTACCGCTTTGTAGAGGAGAGGAGAGCCCTTTCCCCTGGACCTGGAGAGTGCTGCGGAGCAGGCTGCTGTGAAGCACAACCAGAGACACATCCCTAGATCCTACAGGGCCTTTTCTTTCCCATGCTGCAAACTGGAAATGGTGGTGCTTCATTTTCAGCAAAGGGAAGGAATAGCAGAAGCTCAGCAGGCTGTCACAGGAGAAAAGGGCTCAGTTTCTATTGTTTAAGCCAAGTCAGGACCAAAGCACTGTATTGACTTACAGTAATGACATTTAATTAACCAGCAGACGTGTTTCTTTTATACTTTTATTCAGGCTGGCTCTTCTTCCAAGTTGGCTCCTTCTTTTTTTCAAGTCTGTCTGATTCCCCTTCAGTTACTGTTTAATCTGTCTGATGGTTGCTGCTTCTTTAACAGCAGGCAATACCCAGTTACGTGTATTTAATCCAGGCGCACGTGGGTGCACACACAGTTTGTACACGTGTTCTCTTAGCAGATGCTGTTATCCACACCATTTACTAAGGGTGGGCTCTGCAGGCAGCCCCAAGCTGCTCTAAACAGTTCCTGCCCTCAATGAATAGCAGGGATAATAATTTTTACAGTATTTTCAAGGTGGTCCTCTCTAGCCCACAGGGTCCTGACTGCAGCAGTAGGATGTGAGGCTTCATCTCAGCAAAGAAGGTGTGAATGGCTGCAGATCTCTGTCTTCAATGGGGACACACACACTAGGCTGTAGCTACCATAGTATTGGAGGGTGCCAACATCACCAATTTTAATTAAACTAAAGCATAGTTTAATTAAAACCTGTCATCAGATCATGAGTTTCTGGATTTTAGGACAACACAGAATTATTTTGCGAAGGACACCATACAAATTTCTGATAGTTGTAGGGGCCAAAGCTGATACTTCTCTACAATCCAAAAAGTTAGGAAGTCTTTAGTAGTCTTTGGTATTGTAATCATTTTTGAGAGAGGAGCAGGCAGTATTGAGATACTGGCATGTCAGGAACTACTGAAAAACAGAAGCAGGCAAGAAAATTGTCTCCTAATTTTCCATTAAAGCCATTGGAGGTATTATGCCTAGAATAAATTCAGGCAGATATTTGGTGACCAAAGGAAAGTTCACTTGTGATTTCTGTAATCTGTTATTCTCCAAACAGAAATAAGGATAGGCTTGAAAGAAAGTTATAGTGGTTTGGCAGTCCTCCCGTAAGGTTGGGTGGTGTGATTAATTCTCTGTGGTTTGTAAGACTCACATTAGAAAGTCAGCTTTTAAATGTTGGCTTGGCCAGTGAAATTCCCTCCAGGCAAAGACCCTATGTCTCCCTTGAGCTGTACCGTGGGAATGGGCCCAGTGCAAGTGTGGGTGGCGTTAACACCATTGTATTCCCACCACCAACACAACACATTCTCAAGCATATAACCATTTACTTACTATGTTTTGGACACTGTAACTACAGCTCAGCTGAGGGAAAGGGTTTTGTGGCATCTCCCCTTACCAGCTGATGCAATTCCAGTGACATGTGAATGTCATCTCCTATGTAAAACATAGAGCTGAGAATATCTGAACTTGAACTGCCATGCCTGGAAGACAGGATGTTATGGCATATTTTGAAATTTGGGTAAATTTTCTTATCCTTGCCTAATAAACATTTTCCTTTTTTTTTTTAACCCTCAATATTCTATGGCTACCAGTGAATTTAACTAGTGACCAGAATAAAACCTATATTGTTTGTGTTGAGTATCAAATTAGGCAGCAGGAACAAAATGAATCTGCTGTTTTTCTTAACATCAAGAGCTGGCACATGAGGATGTAGTTAAGACCTTCTCATTTCGGATGTGCACTGTTACAGCTGAAATGTTTGAGTTCTGTGTCTCACTGATCTAGCCATAAGTAGTTGTGGCACGTTTGTTTTCAAATTAGTGTGATTCCAGTGCACTGTTACGGAGTTCTCCATAGCACATGGGTTCTGCTCCCATCTCAGCTAGGGTATGGGTGGCATTCTTCACTTGGAAAATGTTGCTTTTGGGACAGTCAGGCAATGATAAGTGAGCAAGGTAGTGTGCTGCCAAAAGCCGGTTCCTTTGAATGAGAGGCAGAAACTCAAAACATGATGTTCTAACAGACTGGGAACACAAGGTGAAATGCAATAGCATTGCTCACTGGTTCAGGGTGAACCATTTTAAATGCAAAATGTAAGCGTGCAGTTGGTTTCTACATCTCAGCTAAGAGGCTGTCACCCTTAGTGAGTGTCTGAGCATGTCCTCTGTACTCATGATGCTTTCGATAACAACCAGTGTTGGATGCTCTACAAATGAAGATAAGATATGTGGGTGGATTTCTCAGCCTCTCCCTAGCCCCTGGGGTAAAGCTACCTCTGGATTCATCTGGCTAAAGGGAAGCTAGAAAAGTCTGTGAGCTGGGTTTTTACACTGGAAACACATGTCTGTCGCAGTGGTCATACTCATCTAAATGCACAAAAGGAGTTGCAGGCATACAGCACCACTGTTACAGGGCCTTAGCAGAAGCCAGGTGAAATGGAGAGGCCTGAGACTGGATTTTGATGCAAATGGCAGCTTAGCAGACAGGGAGGACATTTGGCATGTCCCTGCTTAGTGTGCTAGCACCCATCTCCAACTGGTTACCCACCACTCCTCATCTTCCCAATATGCTGTGGCTAGGAAGGGTATGGCACAGGCCAGAGTGCCCTTTGCCTGTGGGGTGCCCCTGAGCAAAGGAAGGGGTCTCAGTGCACATTGCTGACTCCTCTCCATCTCTCAGAGCTGTATAACAGTCTCCTTAAACTGCTTTTGCTATCAGTGAAATGAGAGTTTGTAGTGTTCCTCACTTCTGCTCCTGTGTGGTGGTCCATTTGGGATAAGTATTCCTCCCTGGCCTAGCTGGAAGCCAGTGACGTGCATAGGATTGTAATCCAGTATCTACATCTGTTTTGATTTCAGAAAACTAACGTATTCATTGGGATCCATCCTCCAGTTCATCTGCTGCCCCATTCTCAGAATAGCAAAGTTGTGGAAGGCGAGTCTGACCATTTACATTAATCCCTCTGCCCTGCAATACTCCCCTGGAGAGTCGGGTCATAGAGCGTCAAGCAAGAGCTGCTGCTGTTGTACTAGATGCTTTGCAATAAGCTGGTTAACATGGTTTTCTTTACACACTGTGGGAGGCTATTGACCTGCAAGCTGGCATTGGGCAGTTGATGTACAGATATAGCCAAATACCCTGTTCCTGATTTTCTGCTTAGTAGCAGCAATGCTCCTGTGAGCAGAGGCAGTAAGAGGAAATCTTTGATTCTAGAAATGGCAAACTGCTAATGACTTCCATTCCTGCTTTCTCTCCTCTCAGAACATCCCCACCTTGGGAAGCGTAGCAATAACCATGGCGCTCCACAACTGTGATGAGGTGGCGGTAGCTGGGTTTGGCTATGACATGAGTTCACCCAATGCACCGCTGCACTACTATGAGAACATCAAGATGTCTGCCATCAAAGAGGTAGGGAGCTCCCGCCGAGCACATCTTCCTCCCAAGCCCTCTGACTACCCCAGCTCCAGAGCCTGACTTGGATGGTGATGTCAGCTTACAGCTTTCCTGTATGGGTCAAAACACAGCTCCACCCATGCATTTGCCAGTAAAATTCTAGAGATTCTCCCAAGCGCAGTGTGTGTTAAAAATGGTTGTTTCTGCTGGGAAAAGTTCTCTGGAATGTGTATATAATGTGATTCCTTCTTCAAGCAGCAGGGAAAAGTTTCACATAAATGTTAACTTGAGTTAGGGTGAAAGGGAGCAGTTCTGCTCTGGGGTTAAAAGGATGTGGCCTCCTCCTGCTTTTTGATCCTTTGTATTGCTCTCTAATCCATAGGCATCTTTCACTAGATGATCTCCTCAGTCCCTGTAAAATGTGGAGGAGGTGAGATTAGCTCGTGCGTGTTAGCTCTCAGCTGACTATTTGGCAGCAGTTAGCTAGTGTAGACACATCACTGCTCTGAGGAGGCTGCTCTTTAATGCCAGCTCAACATTAGAAAGATTTTCTGGTACTTTCACAGTAAGATGAACAGCATTTCTAGAGGAACGTTGGTATAATGCAGCAATATAAAGATGCTCTTTCAGGCCTGTTCATTTCCTGTACCAAACTAGACCAAACTTGGACACTGGTCAAAGCTTCTGTGGTGGGAAAGTTTGATGCTTTATTGATAGAGCTCATTCTTTCCCAGCACAGATGTTGCCCAGGTCTTTCTAAGATTGCTTCTCCCTCTTCACTGGCTCCTGGGTATGGAAACTCTCCCCCTCTTACTCCATGTTGTGAAAAGTCATATTGTTCATGGTCAGTAGCTGTCTCCTTGCAGTTGGCATTTGCTCACCTCAAGCACTTCGCCGTTGATCCAAGCCGGGAGGGAAGCTGGGAAGTTGTGTTTTTCCAAATCACAAGATTGTACGTGTCTTAGGACTCTCAGGCTGTAGGCTCCATGACCCTAGGCAAACTGAGAGGAATTAGAAATCAGTGATTAGTCACCTTGAGACATAAGAGCATGTCTAATGATCAGAGTAATGAGGCTTTGGAACAACCTCTTAGCAGAAGCCAAGAGAACAAACTGAATTTGGGAAAAGACTGTGAGGAGATCCCAGTTATATCAAGGGACCAGACATTGTGGTCCTGAGTTACCTTCTGGGCCTGTGGAGGTAGCCAGTATGTCTGCCTTGCTCAATGGAATAACCATGGATTTAATCAGTCCAGGCTGGGAAAGTGAGTGCCCATTTACAGGCTTTAAGAGGTATGTCCAGAGAGGAAAAGTGAATTGAGACACTACATACAGAGGTGGTGTCTGGCTTGTGAAATCCCTGAATGGAAAAGAGCTGAGGAATATCATTCTTGCAGTAGTGGAGGAGGCACCACCCTTTGTTTGCCCAGCTCTGACTCTTCCCTGGGTGCCTGCTTATAACCACTGTCTCGGACAGAATGCTGGGCTACCCAGGACTAGGTCTGAGTAGAGCTGGTTGCAGCAAAGACACCACTACACCTGAGTGAAAATGAATGCAGATGCCTGGCTCCAGCAGTGGGTACAGAAACTATTGATGAAAGTTACAGGAAAAGCTTTTGTCTGTGTGGAAACCACAGTATCTAATTCTGGTGAATCAGCTGCCTTTGGTGGAGAATCACTTGCCCAGTTGTTCCTCCTGTCTCATAAGGATATCTGCTCTTGGACATGGGGACAGCAGGTGCCCTATGCCAAGCCTGTTTTGCAACCTGGTAGGTGCCTCTGAACTCAAGGACACCTAAGCAGCAGCTGACAAGAATGAAGTCTCATTGCTCCTGATCCTTACATGAATCAGTGGGAAAAGCTGGCAAAAAGAGTTGGATGACAGAGTCTCTGGTTGAAGTCACCAGTCCACATCACTTGGATCTTTGATTACGGAGACCAGCACATTGAGTGGGATGCACAAAACAGCAGAATAAAGAAGGGAGTCACTCTTGGACACCGTATGTGGTTTCAGGAATAAACCTTGCATGGCACAGGGCAGTAGATGAGCATGAACACATGAAATGCAACCAGTAGAGAGACCAGTTGGTGCCTGGATTGTCAGGCCTCTGTTGTATGGAAGCTGTCAGTCATCATGTCCAGGGTGTTCTGTACAGAGGTGAGGGAGTGTTGAAAGGTTCTGGTGAAGCCTAACTAATTCAGATGTCAGTGGATCTGTTTCTGCAGCCGCGGCTGTTGATGAGAGCTCTGCAGGCCAGCAGAGCTGGTTCTAGGAGGAAGGTTCCTCTTCCACTTGAAGGCTGGTTATCTGATATGTGTCTGCCCATCTAATCCTCACATCCTCACCCACAGGCTCCTCTTACATTTCGCTGTCCGGGTACAAGAAAAGCCATCTGTTCCCACGTATCAATAATTAAAGCTCCTCCTGCCTCTGCCCCTCCCAATATGACAAATTGTTTGTGATATTGTGGAATGTGAAGAGCAGAGAGAGGATTGCATTTCTTTCTTTCCCATTTAATATTAATGATAGCTGATAATTGTTAGTCACCTGAGGGTGAATTTGAAAGGTGAAGGGCATAATAGTTGGGTTGTGTCTTATGCAGTTGCCCGCAAAGAACACACAAATGGAGATTTGCCCCACTCTAGACTGGAAGCATCTTGCACGCCCTTCTTGAAAAGACACCTGCATGTGGTTTGCAAATTAGAAGACTGGCCTGCATTGATACCTTGTGCCAAACCTTGCCCTTGGCGTTACTGAAAGAAGACTAACCCAGAAGCAAGTTCCACCAAGGTTTTTGTCTGTTCCAACTGCTCTGATTCCCAAAGGCCCAAGAGCATCCACAGCATTTTCCTCAGTGTTACTTTGGACCTCCGGGATTGTGTCCTCCTTCCTGGTGCTCTACGTTTCAGCCTCTAAAGGAGCTCCTAAAGTAGGCTATGCTTTGAAATTATGCAAGTATCATCTTTATCCTCTGTCTGGCCTGCAGACCCATAGAGGCTCAAGTACTCATTCCTGGGCAGGGGAGTGGAACAGGTTTGCTTGACATAGCAACATCACAGCACTGAAACAACTGCCATGGGATGCAGCAGTTCACCATAATGAACATTCCAGGCAGGAACCCCCGCCGTTTGACCAGGCTTTGGTGGGGCAGAACCTCTGTTTCTGAAGTTCAGATCTTTCCCCTGACTGCCAGGTCATTCCCAGCCTGAAGGACCAATAATCTTCGGTGTTCAAGCCTGGAGAGCAGCTGCAGGGAAGCCCCACCCTGAAACCACCTCTGTCTTTACAGAGGAAATGTAAACTACAACAGCATCCTGGGTCTGGAGGTGCCACATGTATGTGTCTGGCTTGTGGCAGCCTCCCTGGGAACATCCATTGAGCCTCTTGCCTTACCTGTTGTCTACAGTGGGAATAGGCCTGCTAGTGAGCATGCCTAGCAACGTGAGCAAGGTGTGTCACTGATTTACACTTGAGTCCTGCTTGACATCTCTCTGGACACCCCTGAAACTCTGTGACTCATCTCTGAGGCATTTCTTCTGATTACATAAAAAAAAGCCAGCAAAATGTGCTCACTTGCTCACAGCTGGGTGGAGATGCCTCTCCCATGCCAAGACTGAGGTGATAAAATCTCTGTGGAAATCAGTGTGATTTTTCCTGTTGCTCTGTGGGACTTGTGGCTGAATTTCCACGAGGAGAAACAGGCAGCCCCAGTGTATAGTTTTGCTTAGTCTTTGCTTTCCCTGCAGGGGTAAAAGCCCTCAAGGTCCAAGATTGTGCTGCTTTTGCTACCACAGAAGGCAGATGCCTCCACTGCCTCTTCCAGCATTTCCAACTCTCAAGGGCTGGGCAGAGGTAAAGGCTCTGCAAGAGGCAGATGCTCTGGAGCTTCATCAGTGTTACCAGTCAAGGGGAAATACGTGGTCTTTGGACTCTGGTCAGTGATATGGCTGCAAATCTCCTATGGATTGTTCTGTGCTTGTGAATGCTCATGACAGTAAGTTTCTCCAGTTTACTCCTGGGTGGCTTCCTTACCCCCTGTCCTGGGTATATTGGTGTACTCCAGCCAGGGTACATCCAAGCAGACCTGGTGGCGAAGACACTTTTTTGTTCCTAGGTGTGCTCTGGAGAGCTGGAAGCACACTGGTTTGGTGCTTTCAGCTTCAGATTGTGATCTGGAAGAAGAATGCTTGCAGTGCAGAACTGCCCCTGGATCCCAGCTCTGCTGCCCAGCACCTTCTTCCCTCATCTCTCATGTCATCCCCATCATGGCCAGGAGTGCAGATTCCCTGGCCTGCACTTCAGCAGAGGTTTTCTGGATGATATGAAGACAGCTTGCTGTTCTCTAGTCTGTTACTGGAGGCTGCTGCCCGATAGACCCAGTGCTGTCCTGTACACTCTCACAGGTGATTTTTCAGAATGCAGAATGTCAAGTGTCTCATCTCCCTTCAGTTACTATTTTCTCCATTCCAAGTAACTTTGCAGCAGCTTTCAACCCTTGGCTGCTTCCATGAATGCTGTACAGAAAATGACTGAGTCCTTGCCAAAGTGTCTGCTCACTTGTTTCTGTTTTCATGGCAATGAGTCCATTGAAGCAGAATTTTAATATAGTTTACTGTATTTTTATTTCTTGCTCAGGTCCTGTAATGCTTCCTGCCCAAGCACTCCATAGAAGTATAGGTTTATTACAGGTCACTGTCTTGTATTAATCTAGAAGTAGCAAAGGAAACATGGAAATGCAGGTGAGGAGTAAGAGTAATTTCAAAATAGAGTGAAGGCTTTTCCAGATAAGAAAAAATGAATGAACTTGCCTATAAGGATTACAATAAACCTTCACTGATAATGTCAAAACAGGGTGGTGTCTCAGGCAGAAATTATTTCAGGATGGAAAAGTGGCTGTTTAGAGTAGTAAAAGCATATCCGTAAGGAGCTGATGAAACTGAGAGAGCGGGAGGCTTTGTTAAATCATGGGAATGAAACACCAGACCAGCTCTCAGCATCCCTCTTCCACGTGCTCT